CAGACAAGCGGCGCGACTGGAGTGCTGGGGGAAATAATCGACGACTTTGCCCCGGCTAGAAGGCATGCGTGCGGCCAATAGAGCGCAAGATGAGGTGAGGACGAAGGATTCCATGCAGGTGCTGAAGGGCAAAAGGCGAAGGGACAGGGTCCTTCGGGGATGGACTAACGTCATTGCGAGAGCTGATCGTTCGGTTCCTAGAACGAGGACTGGAAATGCTCCGGGAGATGGTGCTTGATGGGTGGTGGGTGCTTCCACCGTGCTTGATATCGAAAGGCACTACAACAGCAGTGATGCCGGGAGAGGTGGAGATGGCATGAGTCGCGGGGGCAAAAGCGTGTGTTAGCGCGAGATCTCACAGCCGCCTCGTCACGTGATGTTTCCCGGTACTCCTGGCAACGCGTAAAGACTACGGCATAACCAAAGATGGGCGAGAAGCCAAAAGCAGGTAGACCTCATCCCGTAGTGAAGAAAGCGGGGGATGGTGTTTCAGAGGGAGCATGAACATGGGGGGGGAGGTCAGCTGTCAAAATGCGACACTGGCACCTCCAGCGTGCCGTAATTAGTAACGCGCAAGGCGCCACCCGTACACTAACTACGTGCCCCTCATCCAAAAGCGCAGAAACGTACAACCAACTGCGGGGCAGCTTCTTCACTTACTTCAACGCTCCAACCCCCGATACCACACAACACAACCTCCCGCCAAACCGCCACCATGTTCAAAAAAGAGTCCGTCTGCCCTCCCTCCTCCCTCCCAGACACTAACACCACCCACAGCATAACCCCCGGCGCAAAAAGCAAAGTAAAATCCTCGGTCCAGCGCACAATCCGCACCAAAGTGCTAGAAACCTACCCTCTCCTCGACCCCTACATCGAAGACATCCTGCCCAAAAAGTCCCAACTCGACCTAGTAAAGCTCCCCGACCGCGTCTCCCTCTACACCCTCAACACAACCCCGCTATTCTTCCAACACATGGACGACGCAATCCTCCCGCACCTGGGCCTCGTCCACAAATACCCCGACGCCTTCCACCGACTGCGCATCGACAGGGGGGCAATCCGATTCGTGTTGGCCGGAGCATCGCTGATGGCGCCGGGTCTGACGTCCGCGGGCGGAAGACTGCCGAATGACCCCGAGGATACGGAGGGGAGGTATGGAGGGAAAGAGTTGGGGGCGGGGGAGGTGGTGGTGGTGGAGGCGGAGGGGAAGGAGACGGCGTGTATGGTGGGGGTTTTGAAGGTTGGGACCGAGGAGATGAAGAAGGTTAAGAAGGGGCAGGCTTGTGAGGCGGGGCATTATCTGGGGGATGGCCTTTGGGGTTTGAATCTGGGGTGAGCGAATGGTGGCGTCTGTCAGTCAGGCTTGGATAGCGGCAGACCTGCTGCTGGGTTGCATTTACGTCCCGCTGGACGCTGGATTCATGCGCAGAACGCGGGTCCGTGCATGTATGATGGGGGTATAGGAGGGCTATGTAGTAGAGGTCACGCTCCTTCCTTCTTAGAGCTGCGGCCATGAAGCATGCAGCACGCGTCGAGAAAATCAGACTTGATCCTGAAATGTGGTATCATTGTTCCGTCTACCCGTGAAGTCGTACACATGCCTCCAAAAGCTGCACATCAACTATGCCGAAGCATCCGCCCTTTTATGAGGAACCCCCTCCAGCACCAGCACCGGCGCCGCGACCTGCACCCCCAGCACCGCCCATGAAGTTCCGAGCCCTAGCACCTATTAGCAAGATATCCTCAGATGGGAAACACATACGACTTACATCTCAGCAATAGACGGATCGTTCATCATATCCGCAATGCTCGGCCCACCTCCCGAACCACCTCCAGCTCCAGCTCCCGCTCCCGCTCCCGCTCCAGCGCCACCGCCGCGGCCGCCAAACTGCTCTGCCATCTCCGCGACCCGAGGGTTGCTCATGATATTCCTGAGCATATCGGGGTTCTGCATAACACTCTGCGCCATCTGCCTCATCATCGGGTTCTGCATCATGGCCCCAATGTCCGGCATACCACCGCCGCCGCCACCACCACCACCTCCACCCATCAGGCCCGCGAGTGCAGACAAATCAGGCATACCGCCACCACCCCCAGCGCCTCCACCGCCGCCGAACATCGATGCCAGAGACGAGAGGTCCGGCATGCCTCCCGCGCCCGCGCCCGCACCACCACCAGGCGCACCCCTCGAAGCGTCCGGAGCGCCAACATCTCCGCCCTCCTCCTCGTACCGCTTCTTCGCCGTCTCGTACCCCTTACGCATGACTTCAGACCCGCCGTCGGCCTCCATGCCGGACTTGTACGCATCCATAGCACCCTTGGAGTCGCCGAGCACATACCTCGCGAGCCCCAACCGCGACCACGCCTTGGAGTAATTCGGATCCGCCGCCGTCGCCATCTCCGCATCCTCCTTTGCGTCCGCGTGCTTGCCCAGGCCCGAGAAAGCGGCTGCGCGGTTGGAGAGGTAAATCGGGTTCAAGGGGACGGCGTCGAGGGCAGCAGTGTAGTGTTTAACAGCGGCGTCGTAATCTTTGCGCTTCATAGCCTCGTTACCCAGCCCCTTCAGCCGCTCGCCCTCGCTCTTGTTCGGCACACCCTCCTCCTTAGCCGCCGTCTGCGGGGTCGCGGGGCGGGCCTCGGATGCCGAACTCGCGCCCTGTGTCGACGCCGTGGTCTTGCCCTTGAGCTTCTCGTACACGTTGTAGATGGCGAGCAGGTTCTGGCCGCCGAGCGCATCCTTCATGGCGGTGGAGTCCTCGAGATCGACTTTGAAGGCCTCGGCGATGCAGTTGGTGGCGACTTCGAGCTGTTCGGCATCTTCGGTGGCGACGGTGCCGTCGCTTGAAGAGGTTTGGAGGAAGTTGATTATGGCGAGCGCGAGACGCTTCTTGGATTGTGCGGTTGCCTGTATGGTTTGTTAGCCTTGACGGGTATGTGCATGCGGGGGGAGCTTACCATGATGGCAATTGTGGAGGGGATTGGAGGGTCAGTAGATGTATGTGGTGGTGGTGGGGGGAGAGTAGCGTGGATAAATTAGGTGAGGTGGTGCGGTGTAGGGAGGTCGCGTGGGGAAGACTTTATGTGGCTTGTTCGGGGGTGAGGTCCCACGTACCGTTGACGTGAATACACATGAAGCTTCTAATGTCGGTAGCGGGGCACGCACGTGTGCCAAGGAGTGTGCACGTGACTCTATTCTTGGGCACCTGATCAGTCGACACATGTATTGAGATGCGATATGTTGTTGATTATCACTGATATACATGATACATGGCTATTCATACACCGTCTACATAACACAACATCGAAGTCGAGAATCCACCATACCATTCATCACGCATCGTCAGCCAATCCCTCCCAGCCCTTCTTCTCCTTCTTGGGCCACAGCCCCTGGAACCATGATTCCCCTTTATCTTGCACAGGCCGCTTAGCCCTCTCTTCCGCATCGGCAGTCAGCTCGAACTTCCTCATGCGTTCGCCAATGCGGGGATCGACAACCATCTCATCTAGCCACACCCTCTCCTTTTCATCGCCCTCTTCACGTTTCTTCGCGTTCTTGTGCCAGTCCGGCTCCTCATTCGCGAGTAACCGCTGCTGTTCCCATTTCGAGCTCTCTGCGGAGCTTTCTGAGAGAGCGGTCTCGGCTTCGGTGTGGAAGGGCCTGTATGCGCCTAGCACTGCTGCTGCTGTCTGTCGTCCGATATCGTCTGCTACTTGTCTCCTGTTCAAGAAGCGGTAGATGCGGATGGGGAAGTTGAAGAAACCGAGAAGATGAGGGAGCGGTATCGCGGTGGCAGGGCCGAGAGCCTGAGGACAGGTCGGGGGAAGGTTGGAATCCCGGTACTGGAGTGTCGTGTTGAAGGGCAGCGGTTGCGTGTTCTTCTTGGCTTTCTTTTCCTCTTCTTTCGGTTTCTCGGCCTCTTCCGCCTCCGGCGAGGAATCGTGCACCGTCGTTGGAACGGTAGCATCGGACGGAACTTCAGCAGGTGTCGGTGTTGCCGGGGGAGGCGCAGGCGTTTCTTCCACCACAGGATTAGGATTATCCAGCGGACCCAGCCATCCCTCATGCAAACCCCTCACATACTCCTTCCACGTATGCCTTCCAATAACCACATCACCCCCAGGTCCGTCCCAATCCCTAATGCCCACTCTCTGCCTCATTTCCTCCACGATTTGTTTGACGCTCAACTCCACCGGCTCCTTCGTAAACTCGCCCCGCCTCTTCCTCAGCGTGCGTATCCTCTCCGCCAACCCAGCCCGCACATCCCCTTCTCTCCGCCCCTCAATCGCATCCCAATCCAGCGCCGCCGCAACCAAGATAGGCTTCACGTACTCGTTGAAGTGGTCGCGTGCAGCTACCAGGCCGTCGGCCGGCGGGGCGGAGATATAGATTGTGAGCTTGCGGGGCATCTGATGCTCGTCCAATGTCTCTCGTGCTATGTGCTCGACCAGCTTCGTCCACTTCTTCTGTATGCGCTTTTTCTCGCGACGGTCGTACATTACAGCTGCGGTCCACGTGCCAGTTACACCGAGGAAGATCATCCAATTGCGCGAGGGGAGTTTGAGGCGGAAATTGGGCAGGCCTGTAGAAAAGTCAGCTAGACAGTCGCATGCGAAGAAAAAATGAAGCAAGGCATCTCACCCATCATCCTAAAGGCAGGATTCGGAGGCTTCTGCGGCTTCGCAGGGCCTGCAGAGGCCGAGGCGCCGTCTGCCTGCGACGCTTTCGCATCAGGTCCAGACATGATGGATGTATAGCTGTCGGGCGTCGATGTCTACAAGTGCAAGCAGCCAGTCCAAAAAGTTTGGGCTCTCGCCGCGGAATTTGTTGGGGACAGGCTGATTGCTCTCTGCTCCCAAGTAAGCCATCATCCATCTGATCGCTTGGCGTTCACGTGGCGTCGCGTGGCCGCATAAGAAGTGCCACCAACCCGCGAAAAATTCCACGTCCGAACTTTTTTCCTTTCGCCAAAACAACAAAACAGCAAAAAACGAAAACTCTCTGGCGGTGCTGGGAATCGAACCCAGGCTGTCACGGACGCTGTAGGTTTTATTCCACAACGTGAATTCATACCACTAGAACACACCACCGTTCTGCTTGAATTATGAGGATTTTGAAAATTAAACGGAATATATACACCAAGTTTCAATTGCACTCAGCTTGAAAGTCTGTACTGGGAGGAAATGAATGGAATGGCACTAAAAAGGCGTGTCTGGGATTGTCGAGCCACAGTTCCGGCATAGCAGAGAAAAAATCAAGGCAAATGGGCGGCAGTGATTGGATACGCACGGTTCCCTCACCGGTCTTGCTCCACTGGCGCAGTCCTACAAGGCTCGGCTCAAGAGTCTTCTGCATGCGACGTACACTTCAATTTTTTCGCATGTGTGTGGGCGGGTGATTAGCTCTGCTTTTCTGACATGCCGTCGCTCTCCGTATCAGTCTCAAGCATGCAAGTCAATCATTCCTCTGCATCATAAACGAAGAAAAAAACTACTTTTTTGCACCCACATACATTCTATGGACAGAGACTCCTCCGTAACCCTATGTAGCTGCCGCGAAAAAGCAAATAAGCAAACTCCTTAAACCGCAATTATTACCCGCCTCCGCCAACTAGATACCCCATGTGAAACCGATACTCCTTCAAACCAGTCGAACAATCTAAGAACATCCCCAGCCCAAACCCCCCTCAAAAATCATCAGGCTCCAACAGCTCGCCGTCCAACACCCTACCAACCTGAGTCTTCTCAATTCCATCACCCTCGCGCCTAATCTTCATAAGCTCCTTGAAGAACTTTACCGGACTCTCTTGCAATCCCCATTTTCCCATTGGCGGCTTTACGAACCCATCAGCCTGTACTGTTTGACCCTCTTCTAAAGTTCTCCAAGCCAAACCTAGGTAGTCGCACAACTCGGTGTACTCGGTGTAAGAATTAAAGTACAATTGGCCAGCGAAAAGGTTGAGCTGCACAATGAGGCTTCGGTCGATGGTACCGGGGCTGAACGTGCCTTTTCCGACGTAATACAGGCTGAGATTGTCGAGTGGGTCGTACCCTAGGTTGGGACGAGGCGCGTAAAGATGCAAGGTGGCGTGCTTGGAGTTCTTGATCAGGGCCAGCGATTGATCCACCTCGAAAGGACTCATAATAAGCAGACCGCGAGAGGATTCATTGGTAGACTTGAATGACAGGATCCACTGTACTGGTCGAAGATAGGAGTCCGAGACGTATGATTTCGCAGGTTGTTCGACAGTGCGAACGAAATCTCGAGTGACGAGTACCTTGGTAGGGAACTTCTGAACGTCGAAATATTTCGCGGCACTCGTATCGTTTAGGTCTCGAAAGGCTGGTATGTATGCACCGGACACTCCGACTGGTTTTTGTTGCCCAGTTTGAATCAATGCAATCACATCGAGATGCAGCTTATGCTTCTCAGGTTTCATACTAGGAGGTCGTTGCACCTGGCGCTCTTCTTCGATCTCTGGACTGAGTTCGCGCTCTTGCTCTTCCTGCAGAGTTGCAGAGTCAAAGTTGATGGTCTGGAAATCTTGGCAACGCTCGAGAATGAGGGCAATGTTGGGATTGCTCATGTCCCAGCCATCGAAAGATGCCGCGAACGACGTAGGCACCCGCGGTCGATATCGATATGCAATAGACTGAGCTTCTTCTTCCAAGAATTTCTCGGCTTGAGATTGAGTTGTGTCGACACCGTTGAGCAGGTTTTTGTGATCTTCAAAGCGACGGCCTTGGGTAGCCCACAAAGGTATGCTTCGGCGCATATCAGCCCATGTTTCTGATATGACCCAGGCCAAGACATCTGTCACTTCGATATTTCCCTTTCCCTTTCCCTTGCTCTCCGCAATCTTCATCTGGATCTCCCCGGAGATGCAAAATACCACTGATTGTCCCTTCCCGAGTTTTCGCATTCTCATACATGCCTGTACCAACCGATCTTTCGTAAGATTCGCACCTAGAGTCACTGCGGCGCGATAAGTCCTAGGAAGTTTCAGATCCGTCCCTCGGGTGTGGGCCTCGTCCAAATATACCAAGCAACCGTCGAGCTGCTTCGCAAACGGGGATGTCTGTAAAAGCTCCACACGACCATTTCTGTCCATGACGCAGAGATCTTCGTTGTCGCTGAAGAACACGACCGCCTTCGTTGTCTGGGCATCGCTCATGCGAAGCCAGGTTTCAGCTACCTCGTGATTGTTGAGCTCTAGGATTTGAGCACCGACATCTAGTATGACCCTTGTTGCGGGAGTCATATCGTTGACTATCTTTAGTAGTTGCTCCGCATCCGACGTCTCGCCTAAACCTCTTGGGGGTAGCAATTCAACACCCCTCTCATGCTCCAATACGTGGGCCAGGACTAAAGCATTGGTATGCTTCTGCTTCGGAAGGTCAAGATGGTTGACATTCAATGGTAGCACATGACGGGAATCATTTGTTCCACTGAAGCCAGTGGTCGGATAGGGTTTGACGACGCCCATGTCCCAACCAGATGCCGAAAGCTTATGCGGAAATTCCTTCATCTCTTTCGGAAATACGATGTGCGATAGAAAATAATCGATTGTCCCCTTTGCATAGCTCAGCAATGGGAAAACTTGGGTGATGCATTGGTACCGGTCCTTGATGTTGACGCCGGATAAACGGCTGAAAGCCTCTGGCATGGCATTGATGGATTTCACCCACAAACCATATTCCACGTCACGTTGATCCGACTTTAGTAGATGAGCAAATGTATCAAAAAGCTCTTCGTCGTTCAAACCACCATAATAGTATGTCAAGGCCGTCAGAACGATGACGACATCTGGGTGGCTGAACTCTGAACGAGGGGACGGACTATCTTTTGACCGATAGGGAACAGCGAGATTCGTTTTGGGCATCCGGTTAGGGTCGCTGCCGTAGTTGACCCTCCATCGCTTCGATCGCAAAGCAAAGCGCAGGACACCCCCCGCAATGAGTCCTCGCACCAATAGTAGTGGGTCCTTATAAGTGTCGGTCCAAAAACTCCCGTTTTCTACCGCCTCGATCTGTTCGAGCGATAGCTCGGGTTCGCGTATGTATTGATACACGGAGTTTTGCGTAGATTCGTGCTGTCGAGCGACGGGTAAGTTCGTAAATCCAATTTTGCAGATGTGATGAGCGATACGGTCGAGCATCATATCTTCTGCATCGCTCCGTAGAATACGAACTCGAGGGCACCTTCCTTTATGCTCCCATCTGTCGTCGAACTCAATCGAACAAGGTAGTGCAGTCTTGACTTCAGCGGCGTATCGGTGGACGAGGGATAGTAAAGAATGTAGAATGGACCACCTCTCTGGGCTGAGTTCAACGGATCTCTGCGTACCCATCGTATAGACCAGTTCAAAGTCGACGCTGAAGTTTTCGTCACTCTCGTCGATAACATCTCGTGATTTGTTGTCGAATAGCTGCTGAGTCTTCAAGAGTGAGCGACCCAAACCCTCATGTTCAGAGATAAGGCACTCGATCCCCATAAGTTTGAATGATAGAAGATGTTCCGGCTGTACAAGTAGGATACCGCGATTTTCCATACAACCGTTATAGATCTCGCTGATGGTGTTCGCATCGTTTGTTGATAGTTTCAAAGCTCGTGAGAAAGGCATGTGGTATATGCGTCGATTGAGAAGGCCACCGAGTTTCGAGACCAACATTTGCAACATCTGCTTTGACTGAGGTTTTGCAACTATGACCCTAACAAGCCTAAATAGAAGAGATTAGTTCCATATCAAAGTGTGTAGTTAGACTGTTTACTTACGTGTTCCCGTCTGCTAGAGCAGCTGCAACGATCGGGACAATAACCGAAGACTTTCCTTCTCCCATGTTCAGCTGCATGACGGAATTCTTCCCGTCCGGTGGGCTTCGCATCTCCTTCGCAATATCTTCTTGAACTCCGCGTACCATAATTCCACTCTCAGCTTCGAGCAGCAAAGTCTCAGGGAAATCATGAGGATCCCAGTTCTCATGGCCTTGATTGCGAAGCTCTTCCGCAAGATCCTGTGGAAAGCCAGAGAGCGCGAGAAGCCTGTGAGCACGATGGAGCTCGGTGACGGCCAGCCCGTATCTGATGATTACCATTCTCCAATGACCAGTCAAGCCGTTGAAACGATCTTTGTTGAGCTGCCGAAGCCAAAAGGTTGGCGAGACGCGGGGACAGTGGCCAATGCGAGTTGTGAAATCGCCACCGGAAAGAACAACATTGTTTAGTACCGAATTGAAAACATGGAGGTAATCTTGCCATTTGGATGCATAGCCCTGTAGAAGTGCCGAGAGCTCACCATTCAACAAATCTGTGGGAACTCGAACACTTGCTTCCCGATCGGCGAGAGAGTCGCAGCTCTCACGCAAATAAGTGACATAGTTTTTCTCACAGGCGGAATTTGCGTGAAGGTCAAGGTCGCTGCATAGTAGGCTGAGGCGCTCCTTAGCCTGCGTATCCTTCTGAGGAAGTACGTGCTGTTTCAGTGGAATATCAGGCATCTTTGGAAGTGCTGGCAAGCATTCTGCGTTTTCGTTCACCGAGGAAGATGAGTCCATGGGCGGAGACAACGCGAAAATATCATCTATAGTGAAAGTACAAGATTCCATATGCGGTCCAGGATGGCTCAAAGGGAGGATGTGCTGTATCTGCTTGACCGAGACCTTTGTTACCGGCTGATCCGACAGCCTTCTAACAAAATTTGACAGATATTGGTTAAAATTTCGATTATCATACCAAGTCTGAAACTTGGAAACGATGCTTGTCATAGCGGCCCTATCATCGATATATGTATTTCCAGTCGAGATTGTCGGTTTCGTCGGCCTTTCGCACGGCCATTGGGACTGAATAGCATTCGCGAACTCTTCGACTGCCTGTTGCTGCTTTGGTAGCAATTGACTTTTCCTTCTATACCCCCATTGGCTCTTGGTTTCCCCAGTGAGCCGAGGGAGGTGATACTCTGGCGAGCTCCTAAACGAACATCGTGTTGACCCAACGGTGCTTTTGAGAACGGATAATGAGGACGCGTTTCCTTCAGATAGATCTCGGGTAGAGAATTGCGGAATGTCAACAGACGCTAATTCCGGAAGTCTAT